AATACGTCACAGCACTGGAGAAAATCTTTTGCAACTTCCGTTCACGGGGACTTTAACAATTTCTCTGCATCTCCAATAGTGTAAAGGAAGCCATTCGCAAATAATTTTAAAGGGACTCTGTGTAGGAATTTACCCCCATCTAGTGGTTAAATGGTATTTTGCATTCAAACGAATTTTGCTCTCCAGCGCCTCGCTTTTCAAGTGCGTATTGCATCTACGGTTGCCGTTATGTACCAAAAATGCTATGACAGGATGTCTTGTAGTAACACTTCATCGAGTTTTTCTCCGGGTGAACAGGTTTGTAACTTAAAATAAACAGCAACTTATGTGTTAACTTATGTGTTAATTTATGTGTCTAGCTGTATAAATTAATTTGAATTCTCTGTTCAATCTTATCCACATAGCAAAATCACAATTTTATCTAATTGATCATTTATATAAAAAAAGAAAGCTATAGAAAATCTTACAGAGAGCAATATTTTCTTCAATATTTTCTTACAATCATTATCTCTATATTCTTACTGAATTTATAGGTTATAAAGACTTAACTTACAAACCTTGTTTTAGCACCTTCCTTCACAATAGCTGCGAGTAAAGTAGTCAATAGCTGCTATTCATCAAATACCTTGTTTAACTTTTTTACCTATAAATGTTATACTGTCTGTATAATAAAGTACACAACCAAGCAATGACGAAAAATTAAGTCAGACTGTAACATTGACTAACCTGTCGAGGAGAAAGCAGGCAACTTCAGCATCTCTTCTGAAATCTTTCTGCTGCATTAGCTCTTTCCACGGTTGAAAACGCTATCCCGATATTTAAGGCCATTGCACACTGAATACTCAATTTTCGTATGCGTATTTTACTATTTTCCTGTACGTGAGCCTAAAAATTCGTCACGCATAGAAACCTTGCACACCGAGTCCGTTGCGTATTTCTTAAACCTTTGCGGGAAAAAACGCAAAAATACCAAATGGATTCGTCAAGCAGTGAGGATGATTTTTGCCCTCTCTCATATTGAAAAGGGAAGAAAGAGAAAATATTACGTCCATCCAATCCTGAAATTGCGCCGAGAGGAAGGAGAGTTCCTTATCAAGGAGTTGCGAATTTATAAGAGAGATTCAAAATTTACCTCAGATTGTCAGTGGGACAGTTTGATGCTTTGCTAGCGATTCTGGAGCCACATATTAAAAACAAGACCACCAATTTCCGTGAACCAATCGATTCTGAACGGAGACTGGCAGTGTGTCTATGGACCAGGTATGGACACACACACACACACACACACACACACACACACACACCCGCGCGCGGCCCTGTGGAAGCGCTGGGCAGACAGAACAGCTAGGCTGTTATTGTGTATTGTGTATATATTGTGCCCAAATAATACATTAGTTATCGAATAGGCTGCTCAATCACACTTTATTCGATCCTAAATTTCAATCTGATTGAAGGGGAGGTTTATTAATTTCATAATCCAATATAGAGAAGAGAACAAACACTTGATCGAATTGAAAACCGAAACTGAAAGCACGACGCATATGTGCAATGATTTGAGGACGAGCTCCCCCGGCCCAGAATTGTCAAAAGACCTCTGAAAATGCTGGCTCTGGATGCGAAAAACGCAGAAAATCGAACCCGATCCGATTAATTTTATGACGGAAAAATTAATGGCCTTGTTTTTTGCAATCTCCGGTCACGTTTTCTTTTTCGTTCAAGTCTGGCCTTTTTTTGCGAGGAGGATGCATTCTCCTGTGACTCTGCATATGGTCCGCCATTACAAATAATAGAGCAAAAGAGCAATCAGCAATCATAGGAGTGCAATGCAGCCGTTTAAACTTGCAGGGAATGCGCCTCTCAATGTGACGTGACGATGCCTCTGAGTCTGAACGAAAACGCATTTGGCTGGTGGTACTTTTTGACCCTCTCTGCTATTATAGTTTTTCAAGATGGCGGAACGGACATGGAAGCCTCCGTGAACCTACCCGTCCCATGTACATAAAGATATTAAATTCTTCATTTACGAGGATAAGTCAGATAATTTGCAGAGGTATTTGTACACCATTGAGGACATATTTATGAATAATAATATTGATTTCAGATAATAAAATACCTAAAAATCTACACAGAGTCCCTTTAAGAATGTTTCAGCAATGATGTGCTAACGTTCCAGCAACGTTACACAAAAAATGTTCCAGCAATATTATTCTAAAGTTCCAACAACGTTTTTCTAACATAAGATACCGTTCCAGCAACGTTAAGCTAACCTTAAGGTAGCGTTCCAGCAACATTATAATAACGTTCCAGCAACATTATGGTAACGTTCCAGCAACGTTTTGCTAACATTAAAGGGTTAGTTCACCCAAAAATGAAAATGATGTCATTAATGACTCACCCTCATGTCGTTCCAAGCCCGTCAGACCTCCGTTCATCTTTGTAACACAGTTTAAGATAGTTTAGATTTAGTCGGCGAGCTTTCTGTTCCTCCATTGTAAATGTATGTACCTTATACTGTCCTTGTTCATAAAGGCAATAAAGACATCATCAAAGTAGTCCATGTGACATCAGTGGGTTAGTTCGAATTTTTTGAAGCATCGAAAATACTTTTTGGTCCAAACATAACAAAAACAACGACTTTATTCAGCATTGTATTGTCTTCCGGCTCTGTTGTCAATGCTCGTTCAGGCGTCCGCAATGACGTTGCTGTGCTGACGTGTCATCTTGTGCGCCCGAGCTTCGTTTACAGTCTGAGGGAGACGCGCGCTGTATTCAAGCTTTTCTACATTGTTTGTATTTTGGTATCGCAATAATTTTTTAAAAATGGTTCGAAAGTGTGCATGTCGCGGATGTCCTAATCGCCAAAAACAACCACGGCGACGTAAAAGTGCATTACCAAAGCCGACAGATGAAAGGATTAACTTTACTCTTTCCCGCTAAACGACCCAGAGCGACTCAAGCTATGGCTGCTATGTGTTCAGCGAGATGTTGATTTACCTCTTCAAATCGCCCGTCTACTGAAATTGTGCAGTAAGCATTTTTCACCAGATGACTTCAGACCGGGTATGGGAAAGATACGTCCAAAACTGAAAAAAAAAAAACCCCAGCAGTGCCCAGCCTGTGTTTACCACACACAAAGGTATGTATGCAAGCAGTATAGTGAGATCGTCCAGTGTTACAGTTACTATACAATTTATTCAAATTGCTTGACTTCTTTAGTTTTATTAAAAACATTTTTTTTTAAATTTTGTAATGCTATCCTTTGAATTAAACTGTAAATTACATCCAAAATAAAAATGTACAATGAAATGTTTTAGGAGACTCCGAATTATCCAGAGCAGCTCATCCAGGACACCGAGTCAGAAGGCCCTACCCCTATACAGATTCACAGTCTCTCAGGCAGAGGAAGAGGGGAACAGACAGGACTTTATAAACACAGTTTTATCTGGTGTTCCCCATTCACCCCCACAGAAATCATATGACAGACAATGTTCTGTCCGAGAAGCTCAGGATTCTGTGTCAAAACTTCAGTTGGTGCTATCAACTCCAGAGTCAGCAAAGGACCCATCCCGTCTTTCAGGAACATCAGGGACATACTAGGCCATGCCTGTCATAAAGTCCGTTCAGTCTGTAATATCACAACAATATGTTGTTTACAAAATAACTATGCAAAAGCTATTGTTTCACATGTTTAAAAAATGTGTTCTGTGGTTGTATTGTTGTGGTGTACTTGTGTTCAACTTATGCTAATTTTTTAGCTGAAGCACTACAATTTTAAGCAGTTTTTTATTAGTAGGATGAACAAGTTTTAGCTAAAAATCTTTTTGAAGAGATTTCTTTGGATGTCAGCATGCTTTCTCTGGATCCTCCATCAGAGTTTCGCTCCACTACGTCTACATCAAGTTCAAATACAGAGGAAGAAGGAAGTGAGTCAAAAGTTGATGCAGTTGTTTACCAGATGCCCTCAATGTGGACATACTGTCATTGACACTAAAAAGTTTTCATTTGCTAGCCTCCTTCGTGTCAATTGGGAATGTACAAACGGCCACGAAGGGTCTTGGAACTGATGCAATGAAATGGCAGACAACAACCTTCTTGTACCTTCGTCTACTCTACTCACTGGTGCAACTCATGTTGACATCGCAGACTGGGCTGCCTGCCTCAATTTAAAAATCCCACAGAAAACCACCTTCTATGCAATCCAGTCATCCTATTTAATCCCTGTTGTCGATGTTTTCTACCAGGAGCATCAGACAAAATTAGATTTAAAGACTTGAGGTTGCAGAACGTTTTACAAGAAGGTGCAAATTTATCAGGGGATGGAAGATCTGATAGGCAAGCAAAATACATTTTTTTGTAAAAGTTCAACACTGTTAAAATACTGTGATAATTATAAATGTGCATCTTCATTCGATTGTCTTTTTAGTCCTGGATTCTCTGCCAAATACTGCACATACAGTATGATGGACGATGTCAACAAAAAAGTTGTCCACTTCCAGTTGGTGCAGGTCAGTGAGATCATGAGTTTTTCCCCGTTTATGACATGGTGACTACATAAATTTGTTAATTTATTTAAGGAAATTAAAAAACTAAATTTTTACCTACTCCCCAAATATAATCTATGAAAATTATTAAAAACTATTGAAGATTTAAATATGTATTTTTTTATTATTATTTATTACAGGTTACTGAAGCAACTAGCTCTGTAGCCAACCAGTAGCCTTCAAAAGGTGTGTAGACTTTATTTTGGACGTGATCACCACAGACAGGCCCCCCTCAATCAGATTACCCTCGTATACAACACGAGTTCGACATCTGGCATGTTGTAAAGGGTATGTATAGTTTGCTTTACAAGTTATTAATGCTCATCTTGAGTAGAATTACATGAATGTTATTCTATTTTAAATGTAGCTTTGATTAGTGGTGTTGTGGAAACAACAGGTTAACAGTATTATTTAAGTACTGAAAGTTGTGTCTACATGCTCTGTTTCGACCAAAAAAACCTATCGATCTGAAATAATAAAAAAATTCAATTGTTTTGTAAAGGGTTCTTCAAAAAAATTGCTGTCACTTACAAAACAAAAAGAGAATCAAGACCTCCAGCCTTGGATAAAAAGTATATGCAACCATTAGTGGTATGCATGTGCGTCCTGTGGCGGTAACCCCAATGTATGTTATCTGCAATATTTCACAGTAAATATACATTTCTGAATAAATAAATAAATGTAAGTAATTTATTTATTTTTCCATATTTTAACTGAGAAATGGAAATCCCTTCTCCACCACATTTGTGGTGTACACAGATGGACGGCAAAAAGAATGTGATCACAATGACCTAAGTCCTGACCAACAACGACGAAAACATTGGCTGAAAAGGGAATCTCCTTCATTTCGCACTCTGTCAACACTAGTATTAAATCCAAGACTCCTGAAGGACCTGAGACAAATGGCCTCATTCAAGCATACAGGCAAGCTGCTTGTAAACAACACATTTTAATATTTGATATGTAATTGTTCATTGTTTTGTTGTTTGTTTCTCAGGCAGTCTTGAGGTGTACCACTCTGTTCTCCGAAAGTACTGTCAGAAGATCCTCCACTTTCACTACTCCTCAATGGTTGCTCGCACACAACTGGCGGTCCTTGATCACAATGAAAACATAAATCGTGAACAGGCCACAACCTCATCAGGCAAGTACACCGCATAAAATACATGTTCTACAAGTAATTTCATTTTTTAAAGTACACATGCATATAGACATATTGCTGAATTAATTGAAATGGACAGGAACACAGGGGTATGCTTGTTCATTATTTCTTGCAGTAAGTAATAATTATTTACTTTTTCTGACTGTTTTAGGTGTTTCACCATGATACAATGTGGTTTTTCCCAAGCAGTCGAAGGAATGGGTGGCTAGGAAAATTTACGAACCCAGAACTTTAGGAGGAACTTCTGGTAAAAGTTATGGAGCGGCGCAGTGACCCCACTGTTGTTTTCAAGGACCCAACCTCGCAAGTTGTTGTTCAGGAATCACCACCGAACATTGCTTCAAAACCCAAAATGAACAAAGCAGCAGCGATTGAAAGGCATGTTTCAAGGTTTCAAAAGTAGACAGCCTTGTTCTACATCATTCTTTATTAACTTTTTTTCCGTTTTCTATTTTTTTGCAGCACATACATTTAAAAGTATTTTTGTAGGATACATTTCACAATGCAAAAAAAGAGTGTTGTGAGCACCAGATAACTGCATGTAAATATCTAAATAAAAAAAACATTTACTATGGATTGACTCCGACTGAAGTTGAATGTGCTACTGTAACCATTTTTTTTTTATTTATAGCCTCTATGTAAACAACTACAACAGATACATTTTTGTATTTTTTATTTAAATATTACAAAGATAAACTGTACACATAAAGGGTTTGTCTTCAGTAAAAAGAAAAATATAAAAAATATTCTAAAAAACATCAAATCAGTCCAAAAGGTTCTTCAGCTTCTTTGAAACCCACATACGTTCCAGATGATGATGGGTATCTTTCACGTATACTCCACACCAGAACTTTCCTGTTGTGTCTTCCCAGTTTTTCTCCTTTGAGTATCCACTCCAGTACAACACGGTATGCCACCAGTCTACACTGACTGTAAACGATAAACAAGATACATTGTTACTACAATGGCTGTATTAAAAAAATTTTATAAAAAAATCACATTAAATAAATACTTACTCAACAGTTAATGTGCCCCCTGGTCCTTCCGGCCTCGGTCATCGCTTCCAATTCACTTTTGGTAAGTGAAAAAACACGTTTAAAACACTGCGGCTCAGTAGGGGCAGAAAGTGCAATGCAGATGTCGTCTCATCTGCTGAATGTTCCACATGTTCAAGCTGCGGCATTACTATGTCCCACTCGGTGCAGCACAAGCTCTCCATTTCTGTAGGCATTGTATGCAATGAAGACATTTCCACCACCAGGTCTCCATTGCTCTTTGTCTTTCCGAAGCTTGTGACAGCGGTTGCTGCTGTGCAGGATCTTCTTCCATCGCTCTTAGTTCTTCGTCCGTGCATTCGAGTTCAAATAAATATGGCTGGGCAAATGCAAGTCTTCCTCTCCTCCGTGTCAAAATCCTTAGACATTTTTGCGAAGATTGTTTTGTTTACAGCGCGCGTCTCCCTCAGACTGTAAACGAAGCTCGGGCGCACAAGACACGTCAGCACAGCAGCGTCATTGCGGACGCCTGAACGAGCATTGACAACAGAGCCGGAAGACAATACAATGCTGAATAAAGTCGTTGTTTTTGCTATGTTTGGACCAAAAAGTATTTTCTATGCTTCAAAAAATTCGAACTAACCCACTCATGTCCCATGGACTACTTTGATGATGTCTTTATTGCCTTTATGGACAAGGACAGTATAAGGTACATACATTTTCAATGGAGGGATTTTTCTGGTCAGTCTGATGCCCCGTTTACACGAAGGGAGGACGCAGATATCGCCCTGCTGTTTGGCCTCTCATTTACACGAAAACACAGTTATTATCACAGAAAACAAATATTTCTAAAAACTCCAGCCAAAGTGGAGATTTCTGATAACGCCGGTTATGTGTTGCCATGTCGACTGTGGGAAACGGGGTTTTAAGTTCTCAAACGTCACATTATGCACCAGTAAACGTTTCTCTAAATACCCTTCTATGTGTAAATGTGGCCTGAACATAGCTTACAAATCTTCCACATCTGACACACTTTCACCTGAAAACTGAAATTCAGAGAGAGAGAGATATATTTTTTTAGCCCAGTGACAAAACCCCATCATTACAATATCTCAAAAACAATCAACACACAAGTTCAATCCCCCTCAAACACAGTATGTACAACAAACTTCATTGAAACACCACTGCAAAATAAAGGTTCCCAAATCTAGATCTAGTAAACAGTACACTATCCTGGCAATGCCTATTCTGAATCATGTTTTTCCTGGAAAAATATATTGCCATTTGGGGGGGATTTGTTTCTCTAAATAAACGGCTATGTGTAAATGTGGCCTGAACATAGTTTACAAAACTTCCACATTTGACAGACTTTCACCTGAAAACTGAAATTCAGAGAGAGAGAGAGAGGAGTAATGGAGCTGATCGCTCACTCACTTCTAGGCTCCTCCCACTCATCCTCTTCCACCAATCAGAATGCTGGGAGACTCATTGATCGCAGCTGCACTGGTGTGCAAAAGTTTTAAAAAGCTCTTGTGGTGAATCAGTGTGAGTCTGACACTCAGATCTCTCTCTCTGTCATTTTCCTTCCTGTGGTATGGTAATTTCATTTTTCTGCCTTTCAGCTCCAATCTCTTCTGGGCTGTTAAAACAGATCATCTCCAGAATAAAACTGTTTTTTGTTCTAAAAATGGATGAAAGCAGAAACTGAGGCAGAATGTAAAACTGGGAACATAATTCTGCAAACTGGCAGCTTTAAAGTTTGCATTAAAATAGATTTGTGTTTCTACGTTTGGGATTTGTTTAATTTTATATTATAAAAAAGAAGCAAGAGAGAGTCCAATCAACATCCCTCATGCAGGTTTAAAACAACATGAGTGCTAGTAACTAGGCTAAATAAACTTGGCAGAAAAAGAAAACCCTCTTTCAAGACATTGTTTTTAACTTTTTACCTAATGAACACAGACTTTTCCTTTATTTGTAAGAACACTTCCTTCCCCAACTAAACATTCAAACACTGGATTTCCCAGACTTCTGTGTTTCTGATCATATGCTATTACTGAATCTCCCGATCAAAACACACGTGAAGATGCAGTTAAATAACCTGATCATCAACATTAACAGCATATAAATCATTACTTATGTTACAGAATGAAATGTTGGCCCAGTGGGGGTTAAAGGACTCGATTTACTCCATATATGTGTTTTGAGTCTGATCTGGATGTAGTCTTTGATATAAATGTGGTAAGGGCCTGTTTTTTATATATATATATTGCAGGGTCTGATATTCATACAACAAAATATTCTGGGGCCATGACACTTTTGATAATCAAAAATGCTTTTTGTTTGTTAGTTTCTTTGTTTTTTTCAACACTTGTGGGTAAAATGTGTTAAAAATAATGTTGTACTATCTGAATGAGCTTTACAGGACCTATATTTATCCAGCCTCAGAGAATCACTCCCAAGAACATTACTAAGAATTGTCTTAAGAGTAAAATAAATTTTTTTGTTAAAAGCTGCGCTTAAAAGTTAATCATCAGTCGTAATTTAAGTGAAGTGTAGGACTTAACCTTAAGTGTCGGTCTTGGAGATGATTCCCAAAAGCCTTTTCTGTGACACAAACAGGATTTTCTTTGACATACAGATGGTAGACAACCAGATTGACTATTACCACCGTGAAAAGTGCGGCAAAAATAAACCAGTCGCATTTTAAAGTTGTGAAATGACCACCAGGTGGCGCAAAGGGACATTTAGCGAAAAACAAAACGTAATTATGTAAAAGAAGCCTTCACGTAAATGGAATATAGCAGAACATTTAATGAATCAAAAGTTAAAGGTGCTCTAAGCGATGTCGGATGACGTGACTTCTTGTTGACGTTAGTGGTGGGCAGATCGAGGCTTCATGAAGCAATGAAACAGTTGAAGCAAATGTGCTATTTTGTTTCGAGGCTTCGAATCAATCCGACACCCATCTCCACGGCGACACCTAGTGGTCACTTGCAGGTGTTGATCTGAAACAACCTTTACAACGAGCCATTAAAAAATGTGTTTTTTAGGGGCCAAGCACCAAAGGGGCTGAGGACCTTATTGTGTTTGTTGGTTTTCTTATTATTATTCCGCAAATGGGAGTCTATGGCAGCCCTATGAACCGTAAGTAGGAAAATGATGTAATTTGGCACACTTGTAGTGATGCTAATTAATAGTAATTGGACCAATTTTTGACCCTCTAGGACCAACTCTATAGCGCCACCAGCAGTTCAAAAATTCAACATTGAAATGGTTAACTTTTGAACCCTTTGCTGTAGAGACATGAAACTTAGTACACCTGATTTCTCTCATCGTGCTGATTACAACCAATACTGTACATTAAGACCCTGCCCATTACAGTAATGGCCATTATGAAATGTACAGTTCTCAGTTTTTTTGCTACTCCTCCTTCAAATTTTGTCCAATTTTATCCTAACATGCACTCAAATGATCTTCAGACTGAGCCGCATAAAAGTCCTGTTCCCGATTATTATTATTTTTTTTTATTCATTTTTGTTCAAAAGTTATGATGTCGCAAACTTAAGGTCCACCTAAAATTGGCTAAGAGGCTGTATTTTTGATCGGCCAAAGATTGATCAAACAAAACAAAAATTGGTACACTTCATTGGAAGCACTTTGTCAGAAAATCATAACTGTGGTTTCTATGGATTCCTGGCATCAACGGCTATGTACTGCTGTTGATGCTGAAATGCTTCCTTCAATTGCTCCTTGCTGCAGTT